TTCATTGCTAATTATACTGGTTTTTTCTGATAAGACTAATATAAACTAGGACAAACCTTGAAGATTACCACAATCAATCTCCTCTTCTCTGAATCTCAATGTTAAAAACATATCCGTGCATAGAATGTCCACTTTCTCAATCATAACAATAATAATCACAAATGGCGATAGCTATTATTTATCCATGATCATCATACATGATTATTTATAGTCTGAGATAAATAGCACACAAAAACATGTCTTTATCTGTATAATATGAAAAAATAAATTCATTTTCTAAGTCTATACAAAACAATATTTTCTCTGTTTACTCACTATTGTTGTTATGATTACATTACATTACAATACATCATAACAGTTTTTGTTTCGAAAACGTTAACCACATGACATCAGTTCATAGTAAGTGTCAAGTTTTTTTGTTTTTTTTTAAAGCAATAAACAAAGGTAGCATGATATGCTTAGTGCTTGTATTGTTGTACACTGGACAATAATGTTCATTAAATTAATTCAAATGGAATCAACAATGATATTTTATTTTTAAAAAACATAACAATAATTTTATTTTGACTGTCTGTCTACATTGGTGCTTATCATGTCTGGATTGATGAAAAAGTTAAGAAAAAAACATTAAACAATGAAAATTACAATAATAATAATAATAATAATATTATTGCGATGAATAAGTGTAGGACACAAAATCAAATTGATTATTTAACATACTTAAACAATTATCATCCCTTTAATAAATTTAAACAGAACAAGAGAAACTGATACTCATCAGTTCAATTATTGGCTTGTCTATCTATTGAAAACAATTTTACAATTATAGTATTGTTTGTAATGAGTATGATTGTAATGAACCGAACTGAAAATCATTATAAAAAAAATGAACAGAATACCAAATACAAATATGAACTTTAGCTTGATTGTTATTCATACTAGGATGATAAACATCTTTTTCTCTTTCTACAGTATTCTTTTCAAATCAATAAATATATTTTAATTTGAATAATATTTCATATGTTTTGTAACTTGTTCTCCGGATGGTTTTGTACATCAACATTTTAACTGCATTTTTTAGAGATTTTTCATTTCTTGTCATTTGAACTAGTTTTTTTTCAGTTGATTGATAATCCATTAAATTGAATGATTTCATTTTACTCTGCATTGTATAGTAGTTATTAGTCCTTTTTTTGTATTTGTATATTTTGTTATTCAATGACTTGAGTTGGCGATGCACAAGAAATTAAACAATACTGTTTAGTTATTTTATTAGAATCTTGTAAAGGTATATCAACCATATATATTGATTCATTGTGCTACATGAGAACAAGTGAAGTGGTTGGACTAAGCTGATGGGAATGAATCAATTTTTATACTATAAATACGATCCCTTTCTTACTTAGGGCTTATTCTGTCTCAAATTATATTAATCACTTGGTGTTTCTTTGCCGACTTGATTTAGTGTAAACACTTCATAACTTCAAAACGGAACCGCCTGGAGCTTATTATTATTATGATAAACATTGACTGTATATAGTGGAGATTGTTTATTGTGTGAAAGTATTTGCTTAGTCATATCTGATCTCTATAAAGGTATATTGCCAAACAAAATTCAGTGGATAGGTATTGCATTCGAATTTTCAACTTCCTACGAATGAGCAACATATAACTTCACATGTTTTCCTATTCTGTGATACCACATTGTAACTTTGATTCTTTCTTCAAACTATTTATAAACTGATAACTTAAAAAAAATAGTAAATCAGAATAGGAAAATAAATTTTCTTTCGTTCTACAAATAATATGAATCTAGAATAGTGATAATATTAAGTTTTAGTGATTAACAATCTACAAATCATTTTGAAATCGAATAACTGTTGAATATTTTCTCTCTGATTTTAAGTAACAATATATTTATTGCAATTAATAAGCTTGACCAAATATTCATGAAAGAAAATGATGAAATCCTTACTAGATTATTTATGATATGCACATGTTTTAAAATGATTGGCCTATTTTATAAATTTATGAATATAATTGCAAGATTTACTCTCGACTACTTGTGAGTAGTACACATTTTATAGTGCAATAACCATACTGTTTTTTCAAATTTATTCATACATCTTTTGGTGAGGTCATAAAATTTATCAACTTAATATATATAAATAACTGTTAGCAGAATATAACGCATTGTAAAGTGCTTCTTTGAGTACATTTTTAAAAACAAGAACTCTAAGTCATACTCAACCGATAATCAAACATTTCATTAGTTACCAACAAGACTTACTGAAAATTTAGCAGTGTCTACCATCTGAGTCATCATGCACTTTCTTCTCTCCTTCCTTTATAATCTACAGATCCATGTATTTGTCTGTACTTGTTATAAACAAATGTTCAAAATTCAATCGAAAGAATTTATAGAGTGGTCAAGATTTGGCATTCAACACAAGTGAACATAAATAGATAATTTTATTGATGATTTTATAAATAATTAAATTATTTTCTTTTTTTTTGTTTTGCTACCTAAACAGATTTTCTATGTGGGTTATACAGCTGAAAAACATTCAGTATCGAATTGTTTTCAATTTCCAATGCAAAAATTAAATAATCAAACATCCCAATTTTTCAATGAAAAAGTCAATCCAAATCATCATAATAAAAACAGTCATCATGATAATAAGAATAATTCAGGCAGGTCAAATTCATTTGTGTAATCATTTGATTGTCAGTGATATCTTGGTTTGTAAATTATGTGTTATAATGATGACATTGTTCAATGGCTTTAAATCTTTTCTTGTTAACGATGCAGCTCTGGAACGAACTGTGTTTATTTCTTTAAGTATATGAAAATGCTCAACCTTCGGTATGTAAAATGTAACAGTAATTTGGACAGCTTGAGAACATATATCTTATTATCAACACTACAGAATGAATAACTATAAAAGTAATCAGGGTTTTTTGATAATATAAAAGAATGCTTATCACTGAAAATATTGAAGAAGCTTATTAGTCAGATTTTTTCAGTTAACAGTCTAAGTACTTAGTCGTGTCTGAAAGAGTTTCAGGTTCATTATTTGGATTTCTGTCCAAGGCATCTGCAACTTAATACTCAACTAGTAAATTAATTATGCAAAATGTGGCTCGGAATTTATTGAAGTTGATAACTTTTTTAAAAGTCTCTTTGCATTAAAAATCAACAGTGAAACAAATCTTGTTAGAATAATCGCATTACAGAATCTACTGAAAGAGTAGAATATTATTTGAAATAACTTTACGTTTAAAAGGTTGCTTTCGCTAAATTTGTTATGATGTCGCTGTGCTTACGCTATTAAAGAAATGACTTGTTATTGGCGAACAGAACCAGTGAAACAATAACAGAACAGCTAAGCTGTTCTTATCCACCTAGCCCAGATAACTTGGGAAAAAAGTCCGAAGTCAGCGGGAAAGATATATGATCCACAACAAGCCCCGAGCGAACGACTTAACAAGCCATCTATTCAGAAGTAATGTATACAGTAAAAAAAGCGTCCTTGGAAAAGTTACTAAATAAAAAACTAACCAATGAGGTTTAAGGTCCTTCAAAGTGGGAAACACAAATTAAAGGTAGTAAGGAGCACTTTTGGTGTAAAAGTAAGACATTCTAAATTCCATAAAAACATTACTAAATTAAGGGGTTTACCTAGCGATTTCTAGGGCTCTAGCATCCTCAACAGAGATGTAGGTATATTTGTCTAAGGAAACGTATAAAGCGTTCTGTGGCTTAACTTAGGTCTGAACTCATCAGCAGTTTGAAGATGTAAACAAAGATACCAGCCATTGTCAGCAGTGAAGTAGAAGGTAACTAATAAATTCGATAAGTATTGTTCTTCATCAAAAATTATCAGCCAAAGCTATCAACGGAAGCAAAATCCAGTTCAGAAATCAACAAACAGATCATCCTATCATTCCTAAAAGACGTTTTGGAAATTATGGTATGACAGCTGAAACCATTTGGGATAGGCGTAGCACACGAACCAACAGAATCACTTCAATCAATCCTATGTATACCGAAGGACAAAATGACAAAGGAAGAAAAACCAAATATCATCTACAAAATAAATCGCTCAGACTCTAAAAAACACTACATAGGACAAAGTGGACATCTTCAGTTTCGTTTGCCTAAACATCAGTTAGCAGTCAAGCGCTATGACATTTCTTCCGTTATATCAGTAAATACGGATAACAATGGACATACGTTCGACTGGAACAATGTTGACTGGATAGGGGGAGCACAAAGAACTCTAGAGAACTTTTAGAAGCTTGGCACTCAGGTCAATCAGCAACCAACAAAACATATCGACATTGACCCAATTTATCAACAAATCAGAAAGATCATTGGCAACATAAGATCAAGAAACAGATCAAAAACGGGGTACAATCAAAACAAAGGTGCAAACAACGACAGATTTAAGATGAACAGCAACCAATCAAGATGGAGGTTAACAGAACAAGCTACGTGTCAAACGTGGAGAAATCCGAATACTTCACTTCTGTGAGAAGTTTGAGTTGGTGATGTTGTTTAGAAGAACAATCAAACCTCCATTACTTAAACATCCAGCTCAGAGAACGAAACCACCAAAATGCATATTGTTTTTATAAGAAAATAGTGACTCAAGAAAAAAACTCAAGCTGTCACAATTTCAATTAATGTCTTGTAAGTTCAGTGTTCTACTGAGGAAAGATAGATCCCCTTAGCTTCATGTTTTTTAAGGACTTAGTGCAAGCTCAATGTTAAATCGTCAAAAAATAAATTACAGCTGGCATTTAGTATAACCTAGTGTTAAATGATTAATTCTCTACACAAATTGTCCAGTGGAAAAGATTTTAAAAGTACCAAAGTTTTTAAATTAATGAAAATAGTAAAAACATCTTTCTGTTTTATGATAATCATCCTGATAATCGTCTCTCTCTCTCTTATTTGAATTTATTTTTCTTGTACACCAGAAGACAATCAATCAATGTTTAATGATTCTGATAATTTCTATCGAATAATAAAACATGATCATATTGCTTATCGTTATGAGATTTTATCATTACTCGGGAAAGGTAGTTTTGGACAAGTTGTTTCAGCCTTTGATCATATGAAAGGATGTAAAGTTGCTTTGAAAATAATTCGAACAGAGCCACGTTTTACACGTCAGGTTAGTTTTTTTTTGCTTCTGTTAGTAAATTGTCAAAATCATAAATAAACAAACATTTTATCATTAGTGTAGATTACTACACTAATACGTTATGTAAAAACCAATTAAATTGTTTCACTGATGGAGAACTTAACTTTTTATAGCGGTAAAAAATATCTCAGTGCAGATTGATCTTATTTATGTAATATTGAAAGTACACACTCACTATTTAACTGATAAGTAAAGCATATATTGAAAGGTAATGTATAATTCTGTTATCTTGAATCATGTCATTTAAAGCGTCACAAAGTGCATTCCTAATTTTTTACAAAATGATGCTCTCCATATAATATCTGCATGCTGATGAGAAAGATACCAGATTCGTCCATTATAGTCGTTATCGTCTACCTTCTCGGCATAATCTCTTTCGATATATCGTGTCATAGTGTTCATATAGTCTTGGAACAGCTTCGCATCCCTAACAAGTCTACCTCTCAAACAGCTGAGTCTGTGTTCTGCTGATTTCTTATTATTAGATAACTTGCGTTTATCCCTCCAAGGCAGAGCTATTTGGTAGTGTCCATTTAACCTTTGCACTGAGCTTGATATAACGCAGAATGCTATACGATCTTCCACAGACATAGATGGGGTATGACTAAATGGGTCTTTGAATTCAGTTGAGTACAACTGTTCAAGCTTATCTTCTAGTTCCTCCTTAGCCAAGAGGTGGTTAAGTACACGGTTGTTATTACTGGATTCCCCGTAAGGACCGAACAGCATCCAACCCAATACAGTCCTCACAGCAGACGGTTCAATCGTCTTCCCAGTTCTCATCTCTTTCGTCTCGTGTACGCCCAGTGCATTACACCCGATCAACAGTTTAACATTCTCGTCTTCTACTCTCGGAAAACGTAGGGAGCCATCAGTGAAGAGTCCCAAGTTTTTAAAAGTTCTTCAAATGATATCACTTACCAACGGATCTGATTATGCTTATTCTGTAGGCCATGAACAAATTAGCTAGTAATAATTAACCAAATCATCTTGAAAATCCACTGCAATTAAACGTCATTCAAGTTAACAAAATAGATAAATGCATACTTTTGGAGTGTTTCAATAATATTTCTGTAAATTCTCTAAAGAAAATGTTGAAACTAATTTAACTGATTAGTTTTCTCTAGAAGCTTTCAAGTGCAATCTAGAAAATATTAAATGGTTCTTTTTGCATCTTTATTGACCAACTGCTGAAATCACTATCGATTTTAGTTTGTTAACTAACAACTTTCAGAATATCAAGTTCATCCGAAATCCCATAAATACCATCCATTGATTGAATTTTCATAATTTTCCATATTGACTTCGTATATTTTCCACTATATTTCTTTTTTCTGGTTGGAGTTCATTAGTAAAAGATCTCTGGGCAATACTAAGATACGATTAGGTACTTGATATTGACGTGTTTAAACATAAGAATTATGTCATAAAGTAATTAAACAGTGAACAACAGACAAGTTGAAATTTTTAAAACTTAAAAATAAATTATATTAACTACAATTTCAAATTGTATTATACCTTGTTAATTTTTTTTTTCTATTTAACAATTGAAACTTGCATACGTAATCATTATGACTTAGCAACACAATTGTACAATACTTAAACAAGTTAAAAACTTTGTATGTATTACATATTTTTTATGTTCATTTTATGTGCATAAAACGAAATTGATTACATGATTGTATTTAATATATGCTGCATATTTAAAAATGATTATTTCAAAAGTATGATGATGAATAATCGTTAGCTAGACTTTATTTTTGTTTCATTGCTGTCTTTAATTTCGCATTTTCAGAGAAAAAAAATAAAAAATCAGATCGATTATTTTGTTAAATTTATGTACAACGAATGTTAGCACACCTTTGTTTTTTTTTCTAATGACTATCATAGTGAGAAGGAAGAGTTTAAAATTTTACTTGTATATATATATATATATATATATATATATATATATATATATATATATATGAAAGAATAATTTACCTAGAGTCTTGGACAGAATGATTACAATGTTATTGATGTTAATTTTAATTTAACACCTTGACTTTATCACTGATTAAAACAAGCTTATATCTATTCCTATTTCAATTTCACGAGAATTTTACCGGAAACTGAATAAACATTTATTATTATTTTTGTGTCGATAAACTACTTACTTATATCCAACTTTAAAATAAAGGACTAGATTATTCACTAAATTAAAACAAAGTTTTATGATTGTATTTGTAATGACTTTCCATTAAATTAAATTTATTAGTGATTGGTATTTGGAAAAACAAAAAAAATAAGGCAGGGGTGTGATTTTTAGTTTTTGTAAATCGTCAAAGGGAATTGTATAGTTTGATTGATTTAAATTAGTTGGATTTGATATCGCATTGAATGTCAAACTTTCCCGACTAACTTTCATAATGAAAAGATGAAAAAAAGAAGGATTTGTAGCTAAATTGGCTGGATATGTTGAAATTGTGTCCTTTGACAACTTAAACTATCTAGCACAGAAAATGTGATAATACAAGAAATGTGAATATTTCACTTCATTGATTGTTGATTGGTTTCTACAGAAATAAAATACTTCTTTTTCAATATTTTCGTGAAATCATAGTGTCGTAACTAAAAAACTATCAAATCTGCTCAACCTATCATATGAAAATGAGAATAATTTAACGGTACATTGTAACTACTTATAAGTAGTTGAACTATGTTTATCACATTTAAGATAGAAGTGTATAGTTTCATCCGTTATAACTTGAAATGTAATGATAAAACTCTATTAATATCAATGTGTAACAAGTGTAGTCGGAAGTCACTGAAGGGTGGATAGGATCTAAAACCACAACACACAAGGTTAACTAAGCACTTCACACCAAGAGAGAGCATGGAGTCGTAGCCAGGGGACTTTTATTTGAAAATTACAATATGTGGGTTAAGTACAGAAAGGAATCGCTTGTTTAATAATGTCTTATGAGTCATCCTGCCCGCAAGGCTTATTCTTCGACTTCCAAAGCGTTTATGTTTGATCGTCCTACAGTACAAAGAAAACAGCACTAGTTAGCAACATCACACATAGTGATTTTAACTCGGTTACAATGAAATATTTTAAATCTAAAACTTGGCAAATGTTTCAGTTGTCTAGCTGTATAATTTTGTTAACAAATATGATCTTTTCCAAAGTATTTAAAAATTCATAGTTTCCATCAACTTATTGAATGGTAATTGAATTCAAACAAAACTTTTCTCATGTTATTGAACTAATTATTAAAACAATTAAACAACTATTTATATATCTAATTATTTCCCTTTTTATTTAACTTATCCATAGGCACGTGAAGAGATACGTATTTTAGAGACATTAAAAAATATGCGTGAATCTTGTGGTGGTGATATAAATCGATATGATTTTCCAATTATCAATTTATTTGAACATTTCACATTTCGTAAACATATTTGTATGACATTTGAGCTATTAAATATTAATTTATATGATTTGTTAAAATTAAATAAATTCACTGGTCTACCAAGAGATCGTGTTCGACGAATATGTTATCAAGTTTTAACAGCTTTACAATTTATACAAAAAGCTGGAATTATTCATTGTGATTTGAAACCGGAAAATATTCTACTTGTTTGGCCACAATTACCAGAAAGTGAAAATACTACTAATACTAGTAATCATAATCATAATAATAATACAACTCATCAACATGGTAATAATTATTATAAGAAAAGTCAACAACATCAACATCATTACACTCATAATAATAATAATATAAACAATGGATTTGATTCATTGACTAATTTACGTTCAATGTATCAACGTGGCACTGAACAAAAAGATTACGTCAAATTAATTGATTTTGGATCAAGTTGCTTTCAAGATGGTCAACCATATCCATATATTCAGTCAAGATTTTATAGAGCACCGGAAATTCTACTACGTCTAGGTTATGATCAAGCAATTGATACATGGAGTTTTGGATGTTTAGTAGCAGAATTAATCAATGGTAAAATTGAAAATAATGAATAAATAATTTATTGATTTATATAATTATTTACTATTTATTCAATAGTACTGAGTATTTATCCTCAGCTATCTGGTATGAATAGATCATTACCATGCAACTCGGTAAGCCGGATGAAATAGGCAAACCTGTTTAAACATTAAGTGTTGAAGTAAGCATTTTTGGTAGAAATGATACTCTACTAAGGAGTATTTGTCTACTAAATAAAAATAATTTACCAAAAGTATCAGGTTTAACGTATATAGGAATTGAAAACTTTTTAAATAGACTCAGATATACAATAAGCAATCAAGTTTATAAGATTGGTCATATTGTTTCTTTGATAAAGACATGTCGGTTCAACATTAGAGACAAGTTTATAAAAATTACTATTACTCAATCAAATAAAAATTTCATTGCGCTAATGAAAAAAAAAATCAATATGTTATGTAGCATTAATTTGCTACTATTGTTATTTAGCTTCCATTACCATGGAGTATTCAGATTTTCAGATGTTGATAGGAGAATTTAGAAAATTAAAATCATATCAGGGTTGGGAGGGATATTATGGATTCTGGTACATGACAGTAGGGCGCCCAAAATTAACTGAAATTACAAATGTTAGTAACTGGATTGTTGCTTAATAGTCCAGATGTAAAGGAATCCTCAAAAGTTCTGAAGGTTCTGAGGTCGACCCGAGGTCGTATCGTCGATTCACACAACTGGAGAAGCCAGAACTAAAATGAGATTTCTGCTTATCTAACCACACTACTCTTCAGACGTTTCATATTTAAAATGGTCACCTTTATAAGTTTTTAGTTTAGAGCATTTGCTCAAGATTGCATTGGTTGTAAGTAATTACGTTCTGCTGAAAAATACGGCAATTATTTAAATGTTTACAAAACTAAAATTATATACTTTTTTAGGAGTCACATTCTTTCAACATAACTTATACCTATTTCAATTACTCTTTATCAATTAAACAAATCCATTGTTTCATTGAAGAACAATTAAAAACAATTTGTTGAATGATTTCTATCAAAAATTATATTACCCAATACACTTCTAGAAAAGTCTCTTATTTAAATCGCTCAACTCAGAGAACAAGATAACATTAAATGTATCTACATGAGCAATAAATATTTTCCATCACTTCAAAATCTATTATCTGTCATTGTATGTGTAGTTTGTTTCTTTAAACCTTGTCAAGGTAATTACGAATTTCACAAACAAATTTCCACATTATTATTATTCTTATTTGAATTATGCCATTGGTTAACTTTTCAAATTTGTCTCTTTTTGTCTATTTTTGGTGGTTTTTTTTATCAGGTTTACCATTATTTCCAGGAGAAGATGAAGCTGATCAAATGGCTTGTATAATGGAAGTATTAGGTTTACCACATCCAAATCTTTTACGTTGTTCAACGGAATTAGATCGTTATTTCATTGAATTCAAATGTGATAAGCTGAAACCATCTACACTGGATTTTATGGATAAAAAAGGTGTCAGATTAAATAAAGATGTAGTCTATTTACCACGTTATTGTTCAATACGTTATTCAGACGGTGATAATCCGCCACAATTATTACCAGGACTTTCAAAACGTGGTGGACATGTTCGTGGTATACCAAATAGTTTACCATTATTACAAGCTATTACTCAATCAAGACTACGTCGTTATAAACGTAAAGATACACGTAGTGTATCGAATTTATCAACAACATTAAATACAACAAATAAAATGTCAGAAGAAGAAGAAAATTATCTGGATGAAGACAATGAATTAGTTGTCAATTTACTATCATCTTGTTTAACTTGGTTACCTGGTGAACGAATTCAATCAAATGAAGCAATTATGCATCCATGGTTTAATCATTTCTATAACAGTAAATCAACTATTGGATTTCGATCACAAATACGTGTTCGAAGTATGGAAGTATCGAAATTTGCACCAAATCATGGTAAATTAATTAATGACATTAATGAACATCGTTTAATGCAAGATTATCGTAATGGTTATGAATCATTGAATAAAGATATGTTATTGAATAAATTCAATGGATTACGTAACAGTGGGCGACATAAAGCACCACGATTAAATTCAACCAATAGTCATTTAGTCAATTTTGATACTGCACATAATAATTCTATTGTAGATGATACAGTGCAAACTAATCATGAAATTAATGTGACATCTTCTTGTTTGGTTGATGCACAAGTTAGTCCAATTCAAGAGGAAGAATTAAAAAAAACTCATCGTAACTCTCAAATTATCATTGTACAACAACAACAGCAACCATCCTACTTGGTTACTGCCTCGAACTCACCGATTACATGTCCAAAAAGTTCACCTCATTCAACACAATTTACTGATAAATCGTCTTGTTCATCTGTGAATCGACGAGTTACATTGATTTATTCAAACAACAATACCAATGATCATGGTAATGATATTTCAACAATCACATCAGCTACTCCAGTGACAGCGGTTACGGTTACTACTACTGCTAATGGCAATAGCCAAATTCTTAATAACAAGTCAAGCATAGCAGATAATAGTCAAGAGGGTCGATTACTGGCTGTGAACTTATCCTCCGATCATTTAAACTGTGATAATAATATCACTACAACCAATAATAGCAATGTCGAAAGTACATACGATGATCCTACTATTAGTCATTCAACTAACAGTAGTATAATTCGTATGAATAAAAATATTCTGAATGGCAATAATAGCAATAGTAGTAGTAACAGTAATGCCAACATCAGCGCTGTCGACTCAATGCTACAACATTCAGATTTGCATTCATCAGTTCGTCGGTCGTTGACAGAAATCAATAATTTAAACGGGACTCATTTCGAGGTTATTATGGAGAAAGCACGTCCTCTAATTCATTCCAAACCTGATACAATATACCAAAGTAAGAAACGATTAGATCGTGAACCAATCAGTAATAATGACCGGCCATTATCAGAATCCAATCATCATTTACATCGTCAAAATAGTCAACATTCGGTTACAGATTACGGTAAAACTAAAATTATCAAAGAAAATGAAAATGATAGTCCAACTTTTCTAATTACTGGTCATTGTTCTGATTCAACACCCCATCTACCTAATCTTATGTCATATAATATTAACCACACAAATAATCATACAAATAACATGAATACAACAACATGCAAAGTCACAAATTCACCAAATCGATGTTCATATTCTAATTTGCATCAATCAGTACCATTTGTATCCTCATTAACAATTGACAAATCATTGAATAATAGTATGAGTAATATTCTAAGTATATCAAAAATGAAGCCTACCAGTGATGTGACCATGATAAATACCTCAGCTAAACGATATTCCATGCCAACACGTTCAAAGTTGATTGATATACCACAAACAGAATATGAAATATCAATTACTGATCAAAATAATAACAATGATATTAACAATGATCATTACAACCATATTAATAATGATTACATTAAACAGGATATTCATTTTATTCCAGTTACATCATCACACGCAAGGAATTCAGTAGATTCAGATATTTTTCACAAATTAAATATAACATATAATAATAATAATAATAATAGCACTAGTCATATAACAAATAATGATCATCATGAAATAGTGTTTAGATGTCAACCTGACCAGTACAGTCATCCACAAAATGATGCTTATCATAATTATAAAAACAACTATCAGTATCGTCAACAACAACAACAACAACCGCCACCATCACAATCTATTCAATTACAACATCAAGAACAACCATTCAGTCGACAAACTACCAGTTGGTTGTCCAACAACAACAACAACAACAGTCGTAAAGTATTGAACTTGACAAGAAACCATGCAGATCCAAGAGCACATTCTCTCAACAGTCATGTGAATGGGATTAGTTCAATTGTTACAGGGATAAATACTGGTAGTACTTTGAATTCTACTATAACACTTCCAGAAATCGCCCCAAAACCACCAGTTCGTACAAAATTAATCATTTCAAACAATAAAATTAATGATACTACTAATAATAATAATAATAATGACTACACAAATCCAATAAGATGGCGTTCAATTAAATCATTATCATCGGAAGGTTGCGGTTATGCAAATCTATACGGCCCACAACCTTACAGTCAACCAAACACTGAATCACATAAAATTATTGTACAACGTTTACCTCAATTTATTTTGAATAGTAATAATAATGATGATAATAATGATAATAATAATAATAATGATAGTCATAATGGTTACGCAAATCAAATTCCATTTTACTATACTCAATATGAAACCTAAAACAATTAGCCCTCATAATTCTCCTTATACTTTTATAGATTGGAAGCATTCTTCACATATATATATATATATATATATATATATATATACGTCACACTCAAACATACACACATACATAATTTTATATGTATTTAGGTGACATTTCCAATGCTTTTTTAAAGGAACACAACTAGTTGACCATAGAAATTGGTTGCTTTTTTTTCTTTTTTTAAATTTAACTAGTAGTAATGACTGATCCGGTTTATCCCTCTTTCTCTCTCTCTCTCTCTCTCTCTGTCACACACACACATATATATATATATGCATTCATTTAGGCTCACTTATGTGTGTACATGGTAGTGTGTATGTGTATTTCAGTAGTACACTGACATCAGTGTACCATTCTCCCATCCGTTATGTGCCTACAAATATCTCTCTATATATATTTATTCACATGTACACTCGATTCATTAGCTGTCAACTACTACCTTCTGGTTGTGTACAACTACTCACATTTTATGCATCAGAATTAATCACAAATATCACATGTGAACTGATCAAATTGAAATCAGTTTAATAGACCAAAGTGAAGAAAATTAAAAAAAAATTAAAATAAATGGACAATAATGTCTTTCAAAAATATTTATTTGTTTTTATATTAAAAAACTATTATTATTATTATTATTATTATTATTATCTGATATTTAATTTTAACTTTCTTTTGCGCCTTCCTTATCACTTAAATCTTTCGACGTATCAGACTCCTTCACTTTGTTTCATATATAATCTCTCTTATCAAACTTACTTATTGATGGATTGAACAATACACGAAACCTTGTCACTAAAATGTCATCATCAATGAACAACCAACATTGAAGTAATTGTAAATTTTAATTAAATAATTAATTTCTTAATTAATCAAACAATAGTTGTGTCATGAATAATGGTTACTGATCATTGCTAACAGTATAATGTTTCGTTTCTTTTCATATTTAAAAAAAAGAAACATATATTTCCCTTTGTTATATATTCGTCTATTGTTAAATTTCATGCCATCTTATTTTCTAACAAGGTTATCTGACATTTATTTTAATGTGAGAGTTGGCTTTTCAGCTTTTCATCTCATTTCTTTTAATTGTTCAACTTGTTCGATTGTTGAATTTATTGTTTTTTTTACCAAAATAACACTTGAATGTTTTACACTGTTATGTTCTTTCTCAGTGAATGTATCTTTGAAATTTGTTTGTTTATCTTGAACTGTTTATCAGAATGTATCTTTTTTCTTCTTTTATAATTAATGAAATAAAATAATCGTAATGATAATAATAATGATAATTTAGAAAGAGTTGTATAGTTAATTTCTTTTCTTATGTTTATTTTCATTAAGTCGCATTTTAGCCAATGATCGAAAGAAATACTCTTCAACTCCAATGTTTTTTGATAGATCTTTTTTTTAAAGATTAACCAGTGCAACTGTCGGTTTATCGTTTTAGCGTTTGCCAGTGTCAGGTTCGTCACTAGGTACGGTTGAAACTATTACGGGTTCACTTTAGTCGATAAACGTGAACGAGACAATGAACCAGCGTCCAGGTAGGCTACCTTGATCTGAAACGGCTAAAGAGAAGTCTTGATAAGCGTAGAAAGTATATTCTACAAACACCCAACAAGCACAATGCAATCAAGCACACAAATCTCGTTTATTTATACATCATAGAAACGTCCTTGGGACAGTCACAAAAATAGCACACTAAAATACACAGCGGCCAATCACAGCCAAGGATTTTCCTGGTGGGGAATGAAATCTCAAGGTCAACTGATCAGCCCATGCTGGCAAACAGGAAATCTAAAATAAGGCGTTTATCAAGCGAGTTGGGGATCTAACATCCCCAACAGCCAATTAAGTAGTAAATTGAAAATTCACTTCATTTTCACTTATCGTGGTATGATCAACTGTTACTATTATTAATTTGTAAATGTGAAATATATGACTAAAATTTAAGTAAGTATCGAGCGATTGTATTTGATGAATGCTAGTATTTTAAACACCCGTTATTGTAATGAATTCACACTGATGAATGGGAATTCTATACTTTTATTCTCATGACTATTATCCTATTATGCCTTTGATGGTATTACACTTTTAATATGGTATTCTTGCTGAATTGATTTGTTTCGAAGTGATCAAAGATTACTGGAATGTTTGTTTACATTTTCAAAACCTATTGATTTTTCATTTCATCCTTCCCAATTTCGACATAAAGAAATGTAAGCTGTCTCATATTGTTGATATCACGCTCTCATCGCCGCATTGGCAGTGTCCTGCATAAATTCACCCTTTATCCAGTAGATATCATTCTCTTTGTAATGATAATTTTAAACACTTACTATTAGAAGATTCGGTGTTTACACTTTAGCTCAGCTTGTTCAATAGATTACTAGATATTTATTTCCTCCAATGGAATTAACACAGCTTTTTTGCCATGAAGGTTTAAATTGGGAAAAAAGTTGGAAACTTAGAAATTTGTATGATTTTCCAGTGACAAATAGTCCAAATATATACCCTACAAATCGATCGCTCTCCGTGTCTTGTAGGTGATTTTTCACTGACTAGTAAAACGTCTTCAGTCAAATCATAAAATGTTACAGATGGGTTTATATCATAATACATTGATGTTATTGAATATGTCGACTGTGTGACCAGAATCGATCTACTAAATCAACAATATCTAAACATTTCTTCTGAATTAAATCGAACAACTTGTCAATAACAATAGATGAAAAGAAGATATCATGTATAGAAATGATTTATTTATCTGTTCGCTGTAGTTATATTCAATATTCAATATCCATTAAGAAATTGTTTTTTTCAACTTATCATTATTCAATAATTTTTTACTGAATCGTTGTGTAAATTAATTAATTAAACACATAAGAACTATATGTCATATACACATGACATCTATGAAATGATCTTGGCTGGCAATAACCTTCCAATTATACATATAAACTACATCCACTAAGTTCATGATTCATTTCAAATAAACTAATTAAAAATATGAGTATTAATCTGTCAATTCTTTTGATATTTGTGTGTTGAGAAGCAAAATAATGCAAAGTTGGTTTAATAAGTGCCAAATAAATCATATTTAAATACCTAATAACATAATTTTAAAAACTATGTATTTTATCAGAATCAAAAAAAAATCTACTTCTAATTACCGCTAGTTTTATGATGATAGATAAAGGTTTGAGTAAAAAAAAATTAGTTTATTCAATAGATTAATATGTGAACAATCCAAAAACTGCATGTATCAGTGCGTTTACATCTTCTTTCCAATTGTGAAACTTGCATGTGTTTCGTTTTGTTTTAATCAATTACTTATATTTTTCAAAATTTTATTCATCTGTTGCCTTTCATAATGATATATTAGTTAGTATTTTATTTTAAGTATTTAACTATTCTAAGATAATTAACAATATTTTCTAAATTAAGCCTTGAAATAATAGATAATTGATAATCTATAAAATGAATGAATTAGAAAAATGTTTCATTTACCATACATACAATAACAGTAATAAACGTAAATCACGCAGTTAATCTGTCATTTAATAGATATCGTAAAACATGTTGTATCATCAATCCAAGCTGACATATTTTACATAGGCACAGTGAGAAAGAAATTCGATAAGGCAGTAAGAGGTGAAAAGGAATATGGTATCGTATTCAATAAAAATTTAATTTATGAGATAAAAATTTCGAATGGAACAAAAGAAAAAGAAAATCAAAACTGAAGAGTATAGAGTAGTAGCATTGAAGTTGATTTTTTTAAAAAAAGATAGATGAAATACTTCATTTTGGTTGTTAAGAAGTGTTGGGGATGTTAGATACCCGAAATTCGCTTGATAATGCCGTATTTTGGTTTTCACGCTTTGCCAGCATGGGCTGATCAGATGACCTTGAGATTTCAATTCCCACCAGCAAAATCCATGGCTGTCATTGGCTGCTGTGTATTTTAGTATGCTATTTTCTTAACTGTCTCAAGGACGTTCTTATGTTGTATAGATAAACGAGAGTTGTATGCTTGATTGTACTGTGATTGCTGGGTGCTTGTAGAATATACTTTCTACGCTTACAAAGCCTTTTCACTTCAGCCTCGGATTCAAGGTAGCCTCCCTGGAAGCTGGTAAAAGTCTCGTTCGCGTTTATCGACTAAGGTAAACTCGTAATAGCCTCAAGCATACTAAGTGACGAACTTATCAAGAAGCTCATTCAGTTCGCTGTTACCTGTTAACTAGCTTCATCCACAATGTTAAGCGGTTTATACTAGTTAACACTGACTGAATCGATCAACAGAATTTGACCAGTATCACTAATAGAGGCAATATAGCATTGTTTATCACTCAATTGTTTGATTGTACCATATTTAGTCCTAAACTTTAGGATCCAAGATTTGTTTCAAACAAAATTATTAGTACAGCGTTCAATCCTGTGTGAACTCATTACAAATGCGTTTGAAGAAAACTTGAAACTTCTGACCGAAACAATAATATTAAACAGCTGCCTGCTGAAGCTTATAAATCGGTGTAAAAGCCAGTTAACACTGAGACACCTCTTTGATACTATTGTGAAAAGCGTTTATATCTTTTTGCATCTGAGGATGAAATGAACAGTTTAATCTTAAAAGTGACTAAAAAAGCCATTGAGAAAAGATGTCACACTGCTAAATTGAGTGTGATATCGCACAAATCATTACGTCACATCTCACTTACTTACGCCTGTTACTCCCAATGGAGCATAGGCCGCCGACCATTATTCTCCAACCTACTCTGTCCTGGGCTTACCTTTCCAGTTCTATCCAATTTTTATTCATTTTTCTTATATCCGTATCCATTTCTCGGCGTAATGTTTTCCTTAGCCTTCGTCTTTTCCTTTTATCTTGAGGGTTCCAAGTGAGGGCTTGTCTTGTTAAGTAGTCGGGTGCTTTCCACAATGTGTTTCCAGCGTTCCTTCCTGCTTTCTTCCACTCCTGAGATCTGGTTTGTTCACTTCCGTAGCAGATGTTTGCTGATGCTGTCTGGCAAACGAATCTGAAGTGTTTTGCGTAGACAACTCTTCATAAATACTCATATCTGCTGGATGATGGCTTTCGTAGTGCTCCAAGTTTCCGCCGCATACAGTAGAACTGTCTTGAAATTTGTATTGAAAATTCTGATTTTAGTGTTTATTGATAGTTGTTTTGAGTTGCAGATATTTTCCAATTGTAGAAATGCAGCTCCTGCTATGCCGATCCGTGCCTTCACATCTGCATCAAATCCACGTTGCTTGTCAATGATACTGACCGAATATTTAAAGGTGCTAACGTCCTACAAGGCATCTACGTGAAGAGCAATTTGGGATACGGGACCGGGTCCTGGTCATAAAACCTTACAGATAATGTGTATTTACACATTTTGGTCGAATAGGAAACAGCATCGAAGTCTGTGACATGGACAGTTAAGTCGACCAATAGGAATCAACATTTGAAGTGACACTGATAGCTAGGACGACCATAAAATTACTTACTTACGCCTGTTACCCCCAATGGAGCATAGGACGCTCACCAGGATATTGGATTAATATCCTAACAAAATGCCCTGACAAGTATATGTGTAACGAACTAGATTATTCGAAATGTATAGCACAAATATATCATATTATACAGTTCCACTTTGTGCTTGCATTGCACCATCGAAATTCGAGGACGGAATTAATCATTTTCAATTCAGATTATTGTGATTCGACGACTTAAAAATGGAGATGAACGTTATTTCTAATCTCTTTGAGCGTCCCTTATTAACCCAACAACTAAACAGTGAAATATTCTTATCAAAGTGGTTCATTATAATTCATGAACACTTATAAAAAGGAATATCACTATGAATTAAATTTAATCGTAGAAATTGCACATGAACCCTATAATTTGACAGATAAAATATCAATCAAATCGTGAAACGGTCTACAATATGAGATGCCAATTATTCAAAAAAAAAACAAATAAAGACAAAAAAAGTGTCTCTTTTCAAATATAGTACCTCACCAACACTTGAGTCTGTAAACATTTATATCTGGTTAAACTGTTCAATCAATTTATTTTACAGATAACGTCATATGGTCAGCTTTATGCATTGTGCTTGTATGAGCATGTATGTTTATTACAGCTTACATACATATTCCTCTTTCTATCTAACACGTCAATTGTTGAAATCATCTAATGATCTGTTCACTTTCCTATATGCATTCGCTTCTTAAATCCTATTCATTAGTTCTTCTGCACTCGCCTATCTGTTCATCTTTACTTCGTATACTTGTGGCTTTGTGATCTACACTATACGGGTAATAAGCTGCAGTCAACGCTTCGTATTGTGTTCTAAACTTTATGCACCGTTGGAAGTTATCCACTAACAATTATCAAGGAAGATAATATACAAAGCGTAGGATCTATCTCTAAGATAATCCAACACAGAGAAATATCGACAAACGGTTAAATGATCGTTCTAATATACACAAAAACAAACACACGGATTCCATGACATTTTCTATTTTCATTGTGTGCATTAAGCTAGAAAAAAAGAAGCTAGAAGAAAGAAATAGTTTCATTCTTGATCAATAATTCATCGCTTCTTGCCAGCTTTACCAGTTGCTGCTTCAATTTCAGCTTGAATAGCTGCAGCTTTCTGTTTACCAAGAGGTGTTTTACGATACCATTTCTGTACAAAGAATATTGAAAATAAACGATAATATTTAGTGATTAGTTATTTGAAATGTATGAAATTTTCGAATCAAAGAGTAAATTTCCAAATAATTAAAATACATAATATGCAATTTAAGAAATCAGATTAGATTGTATACACATAAATAAAAACTTGACTGAATATTCTTAAACTTTGTTGTTCTAATAACTACTATACACTCTCAAGAAATCTTATTTTTATTAAATGGCTGCCACAACAATAATTCACAGACACTGATGACAATTTCAGTAAATCAGATTTATGTGTATTTATTCCCTTTAACTCACCTTATAAGCTTCTTCTTCATCAGCGAATACTGGATCAACTTGAGACAATGGTGTAATAAATTCTGCAGCTTTTAAACATTTCCTATTTAATTGAGCAATACGTCGTTCTGTGATCACTTGAGCACATGCTTGAGCTATTTGACCTGATGTATAACCATCAGATATTTTTGTTAATGAAGTAATATCTAAATCTTCTGTTAATATTCCTCCATGACGTACAATTTGTGTCCTCCAGATAACTAGAATTAAGTGATATGAGATTAGATAATAAAAGATATTAAAAGTTATTAAATCATATGATTGAGATGAATTCCAAAGATCAGTGAAAATTAGGAAGCTGAGAGTAATTATTTTGTTCCCATCTTTCTTGAACTTTCTGTCAGTATACAATCTTAACTACTTTGACGTAACAGATTTGTGAACTCTGAGGTTCACCAATAAGTGTGAAAGTAACAGGTCACTTTAACGATATTAATATTGGGCTAATCCATTGAATAGCATATAGCTACTGTGTAATAATTTGCTTTAGTTGAAGATCGAATTCATAGGTTGAAGATAGCTTTGAAGCATTACTTGTGTATGATGAGGACATAGAGTGAAGAACGCTGTATTTAGGCATCTAGTTCTAGCTTATTTGTTGAGTATGGATTACTAATTTACAGCCAACATCTACACTGAAATGCTACACTAGAAAATATCTAGGAGAAACCAGACCACTGAAAGTCAAACTGAACCATGTGAGGAGAAAATTTCCAGGTCAAGATGATCAATCTAATCTTAATTTAGAGATGAATACGTAGACTGGAAGCATTTCCATTAAACCAGATAGATTCTTTATCTTCCTCATAATTTTTGATTTAAATAATTACTGTAAACTTTTTCATGCATCCTTTTCGATCGACCTTCCTTCATTTATTTAAACTCTCATCTCACACATTGCGAACTGTTCTCATTATATTTTCTTAAATAAAGACAAAAATAATTTTCATACGATCAATGCAAACTAACTTACTATTTCTTGAAGCATAATCTGGTCTTGGTAATAAGATAATTTTTTGATAAAATCTACAGAATGGTCGAACTTCTGCGTCGAATGGTGCTGATGAACAACCAATAAGTAGGACACGATCAGTTGGTTTTATAATCTTCATTGCTTTTGGTAGTTCCTTTGTTAATCTTTTAGGATCTGCCTGTATGATGGTCAGAAGTGGAATATATATATATATATATATATATATATATATATATATGACAGGTAAGATAGGTAAACAATTGTAATTATAATCAACCAACTATTTAAACTGACCAAGTGAGTTGGTGTAGACTTGGATATATTGAACAAAATCCTAAAGGAACCATGTACCAGGTACTACTATTATGGTGCGCGCTACTTATAAGTAGTATATGACGCGAGTAAAAACGTAATGTCTGGCAGCAGAAGATGGGGGAAGATCAAGAAAGGAAGAGCGGGAATACAATAGGATTTGTATGAAACGTATGAACAGTGAAATGTCAGGCAATGGATTGATATTTTGCAAATTAACGATTTACGATATGATTTTCCTATTTTACCAATTAACTCTGTAATTTGAGATAAGTGCAATTTGGTTGCCCTCACCTGTGATCTCCTTCACTACACTACGTAGTAAATGCTTCCTAAACTAGACAAAAGTGATGGATATACTTTTTGACAATATCATTTAATTTTGCTTTCAATGCATTAGATATGTATTCATCCTAATTAACCTACTGTCCGTTTATGACTAATTACAATCGCACTAGCTAAAAATTATAACTGAATGTATTTCGTTTTTTGTGAATTTCCGAAATTACTCATCAAAATTACGGTACCAAACAATTGATACTATCTCTAGTGATTCATGTTACTTATTTTTATTTTGGCCAAAAATACCATGTGAATGTCTGTTTGGAATAATTATTTTGAGAACAGAGATTCTGAACTCAATCGAATACTTTTACCACTGTTTCGACCAAGGGGTTGGATGGCTCAAATGCACAGTTCTAATTATGCTTTTTCTTCATAATATCTCTTGCAACCCAGATATTCTTAAAAAGCAACAAGAGATGAAGCCCAGAATTGGAATCTTTACATCGAAAACCAAAGTGTGGTACACATATAGTTAAACTTTAGCAATATCCTACATCGAATTTGGAATACTCCTGAACAGATAAATTTGTAATTTAAAGCACGATTTGAAAACAAGTATTTAATCAATAATAAATACGTCTAACTACTCATGAGTAGCTACAGTAATACACTAACAATATCAGCAAAGATGAATGGTGGCTAGCAGCGGAATCCACAGCGCATGTTTCGGACTCTCCAGGTAGATGTACCTACATCCCAGAATTGATCTTCACCCTAAGAGACTCATTACCGTTCGCTCTAGCTGACAAGTCATAGATAAAACGAAATCCACATCCTAAATTCCGCTGAAAACCAGCATCCATCTCCAGTTACAACGTTCGTAATCTAGAGGAAATATCGATTTACACAGGATACACATATTGATCAAGTGTAACCCTAACTATCAATAGGAAGAATGACAAAACCTGTACAAATAAATAATGCACTAACGGTTTCTTCTTCAAACTTACCGGATCACTTTTGGGAACTTTCTTTTTGAACATTCTTTCACAATCATCAATGAATATTACGGAGGGTTGAAGAAGTCGTCCAAGTTTTAAAACTAGGTGTATCAACATTCTGAGACCTTCTTTACCAGGATATTTATTTACAATATTTTCTGCGGTTAAATCAAACAGATTAGCTCCAGTTTCAGTGCAGATAATATTGACCAATGTCCGTTTGCCGGTTCCATGTGGTCCAGCCAACAGAAGAGATTTTATAAACGGAGCTTTCTCATGAACGGTTTGGGAACCTTTCAAAAAGGTTATTAGATGATAATAAATGAATACTTTTGTAATGGTGGAGAAAGTGTTTAGCCCAGATAAATTATTATGATGAAGTTTTGTTCTCTGAGCTGAATGGTTTGGTTGAAGAGCTTCTACTGTTCTTCTGAATAATATCGTCAGCACTAACTTAATGTAGAAATGAAGAGTTGCAATTTCTTCATATATGACTCGTAACCCGTCATGTCTTATCAAATTTCATGACAGTTTCCCTGATATCAATACATATGGACAGCTACGGACATACATTCAATTAGAAGTGTTGAAATCTTGGATAGATAGAAAATGAATTTTTAGAAATTTGGCACTCAGGTCAGTCAGCAATTAGCAAACACATCGAAACTGATTCAACTTATCAGGCAATCGGAAAAATCATAGACAAACATAGAATCAAAAAACAGACTACAGAGGAATACAGTTAAAGTAAAGAAGCAGACAACGACAGGATAAAGTTCAATGACAACTAATCAAGATCAAGGACAGAAGTAGAAATTTGAATACTTCATTTCGACATGAAGTATGTTCTGATGTTATTCAGAAGAACAATAAAAGCTCTAGAGAACAAAACCACCCACCTCAGAGGATAAACTTCATCAGCATACTTTTGTTCTGTTTTAAAATAAAATATCAGGTAAATCAACTTTGTGAAGTGATTATCTGTCAAGTTAGAAATACGAAATAGGAAATCTGAAATATGGAAACTAACTATCAGGAAGCATCATCACTCTTATCATTCGAATATAAATTTAGAATGAATTTGTTTCACTGGCGAAAAATCTTAATGGCCCTTCTTGTATTAACGTGTTATGTAAAATCAAAATTACTTCAAAATTAATCATAGAGCTATGATAACAAAGTCAACTCATTAGCACAATAATAATGATAATTCTTGTTCGGAAGTATCCATTTATTTATCTTACTACTAGACTGGTACTGTTAGTGTATTATATCTTCCGCGAACAAGACTCAACTTGGATGAATATTATGCAGCTAATGTGAAGAATTCAACTGAGTAAATTACAGATATTATACATCAGCAACGAGAGAGAGTTATTAGGAACTACAGAATACAGAATAACATCTTTCTGAATTAATCGATTTCCAAAACTTTCCATCTATATAATAATTAAAGGTTTAATATTCAATATATATATATATATATATATATATATATATATATATATATATATATATATATATATATATATAACTTACCTAATGGTAGAATAGCATATTCTGTCACTAATCGACGCACATCACTTAATGTTGGTTGCGGTTCAATATTGGCTTGTCTTAACGTTGTACCCAAGTAGGCATATTCACCATAATATTCACTCATTGAACATTTTTCAACTTTTTTAATTATTCCAGCTAATACCAGCTCTTCATAAAGTGAAATCAATGTTCTTTGTATGTGGGGATAATTTGAAAATTTTTTTGTTGAACACAATGGAATTTACACAGTGGATGGATTGTATAGAAAGAGAAAGTAAAAAAAGGAAACAATTCAGAAATAAATACAAAGATTAATTAATAAAGAATAATTAATTAGTTAACTTTTATTTAGTTTGGTCTGCACTAGTCTATTGCCACCTTGCTTGATTATACAGAATGCATTTCTTAGTGTTAATTTACTAGCCGAAAGTGATTTATAGGTGTATATATTAGAATTTCGTTTAGTTCGATGTTTTCGTATAATTTTCAGTATTTTTGAACAATAATATAACATTTTGATTCATTAAACGAATTTAAAGGTAAAACATAAGCAAGATTCGACATTTCCAATTGGACCGCTGATATGAATTCAGTGAAATTGTTTGTTTCTAACACGTATGAAATTTCATTAATGTTATCTTCTCCCATACTGAATAGTTACATTGCAAAGTTTCTCAGCAAAATCATCAGACTTCGATGCTGTTTCCTATTCGAACTAAATGTATAAATACTCATTATCAGTAACATCTTATGACCCGGACCCGGATCACTAGTCCGGAATCCCGATTCTCTTCTGAACTCGGACCTCGTACTTACTGAATGCCTTTAGAATGCAAGTTCTACTTCATATCAAGTCTTCTTCTTTTACTCAAATGGCGGTTTGGGACGCTCGGATTAGAGTAGCCTGTCTTTTCGCCGGATCCTCGATCCTCGTTCTCGTTTACTAAGGTAAACTCGTAATAGTTCAAGTATATCAAGTAACGTGTTTACGCAGATGCGTAACATAACCATTATCTGATGACGGCTAGTCAAGACTTATGTAACACAATAACAATCACTGAACAAATAAACTTTATTCCAAGTGTTGTTTTTTTTCACTGAGTACTTGCTACAGTCAATAAAATTCATACATTATTTGGTGATGAATGAATATAACTTTGATAGTGAAATCCAATAAACCCTAAGAGAAAAGATCAATATCATGTCATTTGATAAAGATTAAATTCTATCAATCAAGCCATAATACAGCTGCTACTGGTTTGACTGATTCAACATGGAATACAGCCTATTTAAGAGTTTGACTTTTGAAGTCAGTTCACAACTACAGGTCTCCCGGCTGACATTTAAATTCGATCATTTATCACTTAGTATCCCGATTTAAATAACTTACAACATAAAAGTGATGGTATTCATTGTCTAAAAGAACACACTAAGAAATAAAACATAACTTCTCGCTATATATCAATCAATTTAACTGTACCTGTCCGGTGTAAGATCCTTTTCCTTCTTTCCTTTGCCTTTTTTGCCTTTTTTACCTTTTTTACCGCCTTTTTTCTTTTTTCGTTTAACACGTTCTTTATCAATGGCAATTTTTAAATTTCTCAACTCTTGACGAAGTAATTCATCAACCTTATAATTACATATATAAATATGGATATAAATATTATGTATCAACAATGAATAAGTAGTAAATATCAATAAGTAAAACTTTATGTTTATATCTACAAGACATCTGAGAGTAGTTTATATGATCTATTGACATGATATAGGGAACTACTAAAAATCCGTTTTTTTCCCTCATTGTTGTATGTATCCAGTGAATTTTTCAAGTTACACATTCACAGATCATTATGTCGCAATCCGGTGGTTCATTTTAGCTCACGAGAGATAGATAGCTTGATGCTTGTGTATAGTATCATCTGAAATCTATTCTTACATTATCTATCTGGTTGACTACACAGGTCTTAGTTTCTTAATTGAAAATAAGAAAAATCTACAATGAAGCCGATCATTTATGGGGAGAGATTATCATAACATTACGAGGTGAAATAATTTGTTGTTTTGTAAGAAACTTCTCTTTCTATCATGTCTACTAGTTCTTTGCACTTACATAACATGACTTCATGACGCCAGGGTTAGTATGAATATATTTTCATTAATTTTCCAATGATATACTACGAAAGTTGTTTAAAGAGCTTGAAACTTTAATTTTATATATCATTTTCAAAACAATAAACGTGTCAGTTGGTATATAAGTCCAAACAAATGAGTTCACTTCATGTATATGTAGGTTATTTTGCATACATGCAGATGGCGCTCATTTTTAATATTTTTTTCTCGGTATGGTTGATTAGGGAGACTGACGCAGTTCTGAGAGAGTTTTCTTCATAGACATACGTTGGAATAACGGAAAATAATGAAGCACATGATAGCCTACTTGATCTAATTTATGTTTACTAAGAGGTACATAGTGATAACCTTACGAGTGTTCGAACCTAGGATGAGAGTTAGTCAAGACCATTACAATACAGAGTATGCATATGTTTTTTCAAACAAAAACGAGTAAATAACATTGATGATAACGATCCAACAATGACTACTAAGCTTTACTTGTAATAGAAAAACTGGTGTGACAAAAAGTCATTTTATTTTATCAAATCTAAAGAAGGTAACTTTCTTATACAAGTCTCTAACCAGGAACGCTATACTACATGTTTTGAAGTAAAATACATTGATTGTACAGCTAAGTGGTTACCAATCAAACATCGAGAAGTAACTGAGAAGAGCCGCTATATTTATCAACTAAAATCAGTCTAATGTTAAATAAAACTCAGCAGTGTGGCTTACGAGTATTATGCAGTGGATTTCTCCCAGGACTTACAATTGAAGAGAAGAGTAAAACTGTGTCTTCTTTCAGCTAATCATTGATTCTATCAGGTCTTAGTTACACTCCTTAAAATTAAATATACTTCCTGTATGGTTCTGATGTTAAACTCCTTTCTTCTTTTTTAACAACACTTAGGGAATCAATCACCTTCCATTTCAACTTTGGCATGGTAGCATCAATAATAAATAAAACCTATCACTAGTCATCTGGGTCATGATGATCACATTAATGCTGAAGTGGTATAAACAGAACTTAAGTGAATTTTTTGTTACATTGATTAAGATGAGGACAATCAGTGTATATGCTTTTAACGCCTAACCATTCCAACAGTACATATAGAGACGACTATGTAGAAACTTGTATCACCTTAAATCAAAATTATAGTGATTACAATTCATTATTATTTACAGGTAAATAGACTGTTAGCCAGTCAATCAATCATCATTCTAGAGTCTGGCAAATTTATACGTTGACCAAATTCGTCAAACCTTATTTGTATGGTGAGAAGAAATTACCTAAATAAGCAGCAAAAACATCGGCATAGACTGATTCAGAACTTAACATTTGCGAGTGAAATTATTCATCCTTGATAATTTTTACTGTAATAATGAAGGGAATTTGTGGAGATTGTACTCGTCTCACAGTTAAAATCACGAATTGATCTAAACTAGACCACCTAGGAGCACTGGAGTGGATTAGAGGTTAGCTAAACGCATGCAAGACCGAAGATCCTGGGTTAATATCCCATGTGCAGGGGTCGTGGATTTGCACTTCTGATGAGTTCCATACTATGAAGAAACGGCCGTCCAGCGCTTCCAGGTTTCCGAATGTGTTCTAGCTAAGATTAGTTCTTAATTTCAACCACATTATTTATTTACTAGGAACAACTAGCATCAAACTTCCAAGAGAAATGTTAGAGTTGTTTTATTCTAATCACTCCGAAGTTTTTAAATGCAATTTCGTTTTGAACATTTTCTACATATTAATGATTGTCAATGACTTTATAAAGCTATCCTTTCAAATTTCATCAATATCTTCAAGTTACCTGTACTCGTATTTCAGCTTCAACTTCTAAACGTTTATCTTCTTTTACCATTTCTTCATCATAATGTTGTTGAAAATTGTCAGATTCATCACGATTTTTCCATAACGCTTATAATAACGAGAATAAATTCAAGTTAATTATTTCATTATTATTTCAAAATAGACAAATACTAATGATCTAAGCATTTAAAAGTATTATATTATGTTAAAATGTAGAAATCAGATTGCATTACAGTATGAAAATTAATCTATTGTCTCCATCTTGATGGGAGACCAGAACGCCAGGCTTGGAATGGACATTACTGGATATGAATGCATCATGGAACAACTTGGAGTGGGAGGAAGGAATGAATGATTAGCCTTCAACCGATCATAGGCGGCGTCATACGAATACACAAAGCCATATGGATTTCGGATCACACTACACAGAACCAAACTGACCACATCTGTATCAACAAAAGTTCAGAAGGACCATGGAGTATGTGAAAACAAAGAGAGGATCTCACAAGGCTTCTGAATAGCACATAGAGGTGCCCAAGATGGAACGGAAACTAAAGAAGCACTAGTCAACCAAACAAACAGCATCACAACATTTAAATGCAGTTTCTTCAGGATTTTAACAAACTCAACGAATAAGAAACACACAACAGCTTGATGATACAACGAAAAAGTTGGTTGAGAAAAGATGGTAAGTCAGAACGACCAATCAAGAAAAAAGAAGACAAAGCAACCACTGACATTCAAGAACAACGGAACAGGTGGGTAGAGTTCTTTGAAGAACTCTTCAATAGACAAACCCCATTGAACCAGTTCAACATCGAAGCAGCACCAACAGACCTTCGAACTGATCTCAAACCACTACCATCAGCATGGTCTTCAGAAAATCTAAGGATAGTAACGCCTCAGGACCAGACAACATACCGTCTGAGGCACTGAAAGTAGATATAGAATTGACTGCAAAGATGCACCTCGATCTCTCCAGAAAGATTTTGGAGGAAGAACAAGTACCAACAGACTGGAAAGAACAACAGTTTATCAAGATACCAAAGAAAAGAGATCAGAGCATGTGAGAGGACTACAGTGGATCACAAAGCTATCAATACCAAGAAAAGTAATCAACAGAGTGCCACTGAAAAGAATGGAAGATACAAAGCTCACCCAACTCCAAGGTCCACAGGCCATATGTACTGTAAACATCGATAGTGTACCGACGGAATCGCGATAACACAAAACAGCTGAACAATCGTTTGAATGCAACTCAATCCTTTACACCAACATCCGTGACTTTGAGAAAAACCTTTGGCAGCAACGACAGGATGATATTAAGCAGACTTCTTCGACACTAAGGTGTACCTCGAAAGGTATTCAACATCATATGGAATTCATACGACGGACTACACCGCCAACTCATGCATGAAACGCAGCTCACATATTCGTTCAAAGTGAAGACTGGTGTAGAACAAGGCTGATTAACCTCACTCTTCCTCCTGTTCCCGGTGGTTGACTGTATTATGGCAACTACGAGACCTCAGTAGAAGCGCAGATCACAGTGAACAGCTTGGATGCAGCTAGGCGACTCAGACTTCACACATGACCGATCTCTCTTATCCCACACGCAGCAACAAATGCAGGTGAAGACAACCAGTATGGCAGCAGCTCCTGCAGCATTAGGTCTCAACACATACAGGGCAAGAAGCAAGATCCTCTCATACAACACAACATGAATCAATTAAATAACACTTGACGGAGAAGCTTTGGAAGATGTGAAAACGTTTACATACCTGAGCAGCATCACCAATGAGCAAGGTGGATCTGATACAGATACGAAAGCGCAGATCGACATAGTAAGGACAGCATTTATCCGACTGAAGAACATCCGGAACTCAAAATAACTCTCAACTAACGCCAAAGTCCCAATCTTCAATACGAACGTTAAAATGGTTATAGTGTATGTAGCGGAGACTTGGAGAACCATGAAAGCCATCATCCACAAGATACAGATGTTAATTAGCAGTTGTCTATGCAATATACCGCAGATCCGTTGACCGGACACCGTCAACAGCAACCTACTGTGGGAGAGAATAAACCGGCTTTCGGCTGGTTGGGGAATTAGACAAAGAAGTTGGAGGTGGACGGGACACAGTATGCAGAAACTAACCATCCGTATCACAAGATATATCCTGACTTGGAATCGTCAAGACCAAGTGAAGAGAGGAAGACCAGAAAACACTGTGATGGGAATTCTATGCACGTTTTAAGTTGATAGCACAAGAAAACAACGGAAAAGGAGAGCCTAGAACGGGGTCGGTAAGAGACTGATGGTCGGCGGCCTATGCTTTTTGTGGGTTAGCAGGAGTAAGTAAGTAAATTATTAGACTGACCAACTTGTAAGTATATCTCTAACCCACTACATTTTCTAGTTTCACGTACATTACACTGTAATTTATTGAAGACCGAATGCTTTTGTTCTCTCTTTATTTTTGACTCAGATGATAAATTAGTATTGAATTCTCACTAATTCGTACACAAAAAACTACATATGAAGATATGATTTATAAATTTGAAAAAGAAGAAACCTACCTTGATAATTATGACATCCTTCATTTATTTCATCAAGAAATGCTGATGGTGAGAATTTGAATCCTTCTGGTTCTTCCTACATATTATCAACAAAACAAATATTAATTACTGTTGCATCAGATTTTATCAAAAAGGCATTAATCGGTAATAATTTAAACGATTTGTCTGTTTCTTAATATCAACTAAACCTTACAGATGATCCTAAAGATCCAGCTTAGCAAAAATAAACAGCTGAGTAATTTGATTTTTATAACTGAATATTTTAAGGTAAAAATTTCGGTCACTTTTCTGTCTTTGCTGTTATAAACACTATAGCATTAAGCTGAGTAAATAAACTTGTTCCTAATGAATCAATCTAATTTAATTAAGCAAACTAGTAGTTTTTTCACTGTTAACAAACTCATTCAAAATACATAAAGATTGATTACTTGTAAAATTTTCATTCTGTTATGCTTATCCTAAAACTATGAAGTAGAAGATGCAAACGCATAAGAAATAAAGACATATCATGACAGAGGTTTATTATTTTACTTGCGCATTTCATGTTTCCTATATTATGTGATTAATTGAACATTTTACAAGCCTTGACACTTAACATATATAAAAGAAATGATAAACATACTGAAATTTATGTTCAAAAGGCTCACAGGATTTCTTAACCCTCTATACCTCACAGTATAATACCTTTTTTATGCTCTGTAGTAAGTAAATGACCTAAAAATATGAGATCACTGTATAATAAGTTGAAAGAAGGCAGAGTTATTCGCATTTATAAATCTACAGTAACAGTGAATAGGGAGGATGAAAGTGATTACATTTCATTAATGAAGTTCTGTTGTGACTATAGGATGAAAATATACGGCAAGTGCTTACAAGATATTGCTTGTTCATGATAAAATTTTCATGCAGTCATCATCACAAATCCCGACTGAGCTTAAACATCAAAATTACTCAGTTGTTCAGTAAGAGAAACTGATATTGGTAGCTAAAGCAATTAATCCCCTCTGTAAATTTTGATCGAACAATGAAAAGACAATTTAATCAAGGGTTATGTAAAACATGTTTAGATGGTTTTAAAATCAGCTAATGTCAAATAATTTGATAAACCTGGGAAATAAAACACCATGTTCACAACATCAAAACACATAATTGAAACGAGGTATAGATTCGACATGACGGTGGCTTTTAAAAGGTTGCTTAGAAATTGTCAAGAGTGAGTTCTTAGGGTTTATAGAAGCCTTGGCTGTTCACAAATTCAAACATTGCTTATGTGTACAGAAACAATTTGTCATAACCTTGAATTTACCTCACTCATGTTTAAGTCATTTGATAGCCCTTTTCTTTCCATATTACGTCACTTTTCCCCCGCCTTTTTTTAACAATTATCTTCTTGTTTATTTGAAATGATATTTAATTGACCTTTATTGATAAAATGCCTTGACAAGTATGTGTAAGACCAGAATGCTTGAAATGCACATTGCAAAAACATCACACTTTTCAGATCAACTCTGTCTCCCACTGTTCTATGTAAATAGTAATTAACACTAGATAATTTCGTGTTTCATAAATATGATATTAACATTCTCATCCCAGTACAGTATTTTAATTAATGAATATTGATCTCAATGACATTCATCTATGCAAATTTAGTCAAAGCAAGTACAACCATTAACATACTTTGCCTTTCTTCTTTTTTGGATCATCTTTCTTTTTTTCCGCTCCGCTGGTTTTCCCCTTCGACTTTTTATTTGCCTCTTCCTTCGAGAAAGATAAAGTTATGAGTCAGAATAATTACAGTTCATTTAAAAGAAATTCTCAAAGTATCATTGAAAACCAGACAGTGAAAAAGACAGACGGATACAGGGCTTATCATCTCACCATTTACCGATGTTGGTGCTGAACTCAAGTAGAACAAATTAAAGAACGGTCAAAATGGAAGAAATTTCAACTACTGGTTTAACATTCTTAATGATGACACCGAGATAAAAGGATAATTCAACTAGACAATCTATGTATGTGAGTATCTTTATTAGCTGTTTAAAACAAGTAGGGTAGCATAGATTTGTCGACAGTCGTCATGACATCATTATTTAGTCACTCTGGAAGGTATTTTGAAATATTTAAAAAAGGGAATTCTTAGAACATCTGTCAATGTAAAATGCTCTACATTAGTTGAATTTGAAGTTTAACGTAACACGCTATTATTAATCATCTACAATGTTAAGAGAAATTTCCTAAAAGCGACCATGCTCCATAAACGATTACAATGTTCATTAAAACACTTTGTTTCCATAAAAAACAGAACAATGTACTTCTTCTGTCCTCAGACAGTTGAAAATAACAATAGTCCTCTTAATAATAAGATGGACGACTGAATGGTTAGATATCCCGTTCCTATGTACATTTCCAAAATCTAAATACACAGGATTTAATTACCTTTTATCATACATTTGAACGTAATTTAAATAAATTCATAAATTACGTAACTATAATTCTCCATAAAATTGTTTTCACAAATTAACATGGCCTAAAAACCTGATTCACGTTCATATTGGATGTTAGTGATGTAGCATACACACACAAACCTGAAATTCATTATTTCGATTATTCAAAAGTCATTAGTCTAAAAGATGAATATTTATCTCAGTTAAGTAATTTAGACAGAGACTTGTCGAATTCAATGAGAATTTACTGAAAAAAAGTATCTTTTACTCATGCATATATCATTGTTTCGTTCAAAGTTAGAATTTTTTTTGGCAAACGAAATGGTTAAAATAAAATGAACACTTATTCTTGCAAAACCAATCATACCTCCAGTTCTCTTTCTAATTCCTCTGGTGTTTTTTCTTTAAAAATCACTGCCGAACCTCCCTCATCTTCGTCTGGGTAGTCAGGAAATTTTCCAGTCGCATCCCTAATAAGTAAAAATGTTGTATATAACATATACAGAGCATGATAGCCTGAAAAAGATACTAACTTTAGAATAGCCCTTGATATTGCCACAAAGTGAAATCTTTAAATATTAACAATTCTTATAGAGAATATTAGAACAACACAAAGAAGCGAGCAATATTGGTTTCACTTGGATCTTCATCAGGCTTTACTCTCATTTAAAGGAATGTTTATAAGAAAATGTTAAACCAATCAAGGTAATTTGAGTCGTGATCACAATGAAATGAAATAGATTATGTAACTACTATACATAATAGGCAAAAGTACAAGTTGATAGTAACAAGACATGTGTACTGATAATAGTAAGAAAAATAAAGTACGATGACAAAAGTTCAGTATTGGAGATAGTAGGCCATACGCAGATAAATAGACTTAAAATAATCATTACAAAATATTAAAACCACCACATAATAAGAAGTGTGTACATAATTAGATAGTGAATAATGTAAATGGGAAGAGGCAGAAAATTACAAGCAAATACACTGTGTGAAGTTAATGCTAATAATAACAAAATAAAATTAAAAAACAAAATTTCAAAAACGTTGGTTCAGTCATATCCGGTCACAGAAAAGATAGAGGTGTCACAAATTTCTTCTGAATATACAAATTGGGGTCGAATGTACGAATTCCTATGGCTTCTGCTAAATGTAGGAGACGGGATCGAACTCCGTTGGGAAATGATGGAGGTATACGATAGATCACTCGAAACGATCCAGATTTATCTACCATATGATCTTTATCAATCAGGTGTGCCAAGATAGAACTGCGTATTGTTTCTAACTGGCCCTTCATGAACCATGCTGGGAGGTGTACACTCATTCGTTGGTTAAGTTGCCTGTTAATACACCCGATATATCTCTCTCTACAGGAGCAGCTGAATTTTTAAATGCACATCAACGAGGTCAATTCGGGTAACTTATCCTTCGTTTGAGTAGACATCATTGGTCGACCGAAAAATTTTATTGCACGATTGACTGTTTAGAATGTCCTACTAACTGCCTTCTGTAACCTATCGTACAGAACATTGCTAGCCATATCCTCGTTGAATTACACTTTTAGAATAATAGGTTTCTTCCGAATGGTCAGTCTTTAGCTTTTTTTTCTCTGTATGCATGTATTTTTTAAAAAACCCACTGAGGTAAACAATCTCGGTCAGTAAGTTGTTAACAAATTCTAGCCCTTTACATAAGCTATCTACTGAGGAGATCATTTTTATTTCTTACCATTGATAGTACAACTGTCTTCCTACTATCAACTTTTACTTTACTTGTTATGTTTAGTTACGTTATCTATCTCATTGCCTTGATTGGTTTAACATTTTCATATAAGTAAATCCCGATAACGATCTAATTGAAACCAATATTGCTCCCTTCTATGTTGTTCAAATATTTAAATGTACGAAAAGTAGACATTATTCGCTTTAGACAACAGTTGAATGTCTGAAAATAACAAATCTTATCAAGTTCATGTACAGTTTAAGTCAAATTCATTTTCATGTTATACTTGATTTCATCATATGTGAGTAGTAGCAGTAAAAAAGGTTGAAAAAATGGAAGACTCGAAACAAATCAACAACTGATGTCATCATCTTTATCTAACTGTAGTAACCCTTAAATTCAGTATCTGTGCCTGAATATTTATTCAAATTCAAAAACGCTAAAAATCTAATAAAATTTCCGAAAAAACTGAACTCTTCAATCCTAATTTTACTTATTAAATCAGTGTCAGAAAACTTAAGTGAAAAAAGCAAATAGTGGTCACTTGTAAGAAAAGTTTATGTAGTTATCAAATCTACTTATCAAAAGATATTAAGTTTCAGGAAACGTTCTACGTGTGACATTATTTGTTTTAAAGTATTCAAAAGGTAAGTTATCCTTTTTTATACAAAAATTAACCATCAACTTTCATGATATTCGACTTACTATAATTTTTTTTCTGTTGTTTCTTATCTTTTAAAATTTTTCAAAGTTTTTATATCAATTCTTTGTTTGATCTTTCATCTTTATGAACATGTTTGTTTGCTTTCGGTTAGGATAGATTAATTATTTCAGTTGTCATAAGTTTCGATTTTCATGTATCGCCTTTCAAAATTTGTACATGGTACATGCTTAATTTTTGATCTATTCATGTGATGACCACATTCATCCCGTGTTTCGCAATTAAAAACTTCCAGACGATTATTAATTTGAAATTCAATCCCAATGCAAATTAACGGACTCTTATTTTTTGTTCTTTTCTCATTGAAATATTTCATTTACCGTTGTCTAGTATCATATTATTTCACTCAGTCGTATATATGCAGATAAACAGTCAGATAGATAAACCTATTTCTCACTATAGGGTTGTGGAGATTGTTGAGTTTTACTTTGAAATCGTGAATCGATCAATGTTTGACCACCATTATAAAACCGGGAGCACTAGACGTCGGTTTCGCACTGTTATTGAAATCATCAGCAGTGTACATCCAAGACTCCCGCTACTCGAACCTAGAACCTTAGGTCTTGTGCTCGAAAGCCTAATTGTTATAAATCTCTCTTAGTAAACCTAGCTTAGTATCCGCTGACAACCATACACTCTACAAGTTCCCAAATCAGAACACGGTGGAACAGGAAAAGATTATATTCCAAATAGCAAGTTTAGTGGAAATAAGAAGCCAAAGCGAAAGCGAAATAGAAACAACGTTAGTATCTTCATAGTTTTTTCATGAGACACTTTCGGAATGTACTCCAAGTATCGACCAGTGCTGATTGGATAGGAATTAGCCAATCAGCAGCGCACACTCACGACACCTACTACTCGTAGGACTGGAATCCAAGAACTTCGGCCTTGCATGAACGCTTAACCTATTGACTACTGAGCTGACATCCAATGGTGCTAATATTTAACTCTGATCAATATCCATTAACCATATTATTATATGGCAGACTAATCCTTATCTAGTTTTACTGATGAGTTATGGTGTCACCTTTGTTTCTTCTATTTTATTCCTTTTATCTCAAAAGGGTATTTGTAGTAAATTCATCTTCAAATCATAAATTAAAGAGAAGATGATTGTTATACAAACATTTGTCAAAAAACTGAAGTAAATTAAAGAAAAAATTGAAAATAATATTACACTAACTAATCATTTTAAGTCAAAAAAAAGAAAATACTGACCTGCATTCCATATACCATTGACGTATTTGATCTTGCATTGCTTCACGCATATCTGGACCTTCAGTGTCACGAATCTTCTCTTTTACTTGAATCAATGCTTGTTGATATTCTTGTTCATAGATATTTTGTGTTACTCTACGTACTGCATCTACTCGATTAGCCAACTTAACTACATTAGATTTTTGTGAAATATAATGTAAATTTGTTGGCATCTAAAAATTCAGATAAAAAGGTTGTAAACATTTACCTGGTTACATTAACAGTAATATAAAATTATGTTTATATGAATTTGTCACAATAAAACTTTAGTTAGTTAGTATTCTGAGAAATAAATACTTTTCCTATCTTATAATGTAATAATTAGTCAAATTTTCTAATATTAAAAAAGACTTTTGTCCCTTTTTAAACAGCTAACCAATATCATATTCACAATTATATTATAAATACGTCCTGTCCGTTATTATTCACTTTACATTTGTGTGCCCGCGAATGCCTACTAATTAAGAGTATTGAATTAAAGTAAATAAGATTTCTGATTGATCATTAAATTTTGAAATGTTATTAGCTCCACAACTCTATAATGAAAATAGAAGTGAAAAAAGGCTTAAACTCTGATTTTTCAACAATCTATATCTTTACTGATACAGGTAATCAATTAGATTATATTCAATTACATATGATGACACTATTCCAAATACTTTTCAGTACATTACATAGAATGTAGTAATTACGGTTGAAAAAGAACTCAAAGAATTTACACACTATGTAATCTAATATTTTGATGAATGCATTAATTTTTTTAATGAATACTTACCATACCTAACCATATAAGTTCGTTTTTACGCATTTCACTAACTTTCTTACGAGTGATATAACCTCTCCATAGCTATAAACAAACAGTGAAAAGAGCATATCAGAGTAATAGTAAAGGAATCTGATTATATAGTGCAATTATGACTAACAGTTATTCAAGTAGAAATCACCTACTTTTCGCAGGTAGATATTTAACTATCCATTACAAATAAGTCATATTGGTAATGATCACAAAGTACCATGTCTGCATAGTTCGTTAATCTTTCTTTCAAAATAAATTTGAATCCGGATGTACGGCTCCACTTATCTGAAGTCATTAAATGGTTTTCTCTGCCCATTATCACTCATACAAATACTGAGACGCAATAATTTCCGAACTATTTCAAATGACCTACCATACAAGTGTGTATGAGCTCCTATCAGTTTTACATTTAAACGACAAAGCACTTATTTTGTATCGTCGTAAGATATAAAAGATAAAACAACTATTGGATACCGTTGGTTGTTAGACAATTAATTGCAATATCATATAAACCACTTGTTTGTCAAAATTTATTCTAACTCACGAATATTCTCTATCACATTTTGTGCACATTCTGACAATATTTTAGTGTATCATTTTGTGTAGCTTGAATCTTCTTAACTCAGTGAACATTTCTTTATTTTAGAAAGTAGACGTCAACCGCCCGAATTTTAAGCAATTATTATATTTGACTTAATCTCTTAGTTCTGCTGCGCTACAAACTAATTGATTCATCAATGCTGCTTGAAGTAAAAATGTTTTTTAATTACTTTTTAATCATGAAACCCCTCCTACCTTGGTGTTATTTTACAAAAAGGATAGTGAAAAACTTACTCTCTATTTTATCGTATACAGAAACTCTTTAGGTTGGTAAAAGTTTCACTGATGTTTAAGTTGTAGGGCTATGAATCAACAATAGTACTGGAGCATAGTGTATTGAATAGTTTTCAGGTCTTTTACTGTTTATTGTACTGAGCTATTTACTTTACTTACCCTTATCTTCCACTTATCAGGATTTAACACTTGTTAAATTTGTTTGACTTGTGTCAACTTCAAATAACTCTATACTATTGTCAGTATATAATGTACACCAATAAAAATTCTAACATATGCACTGAGCTTTGGTTTCAAAGTAGTTCAACTCAAAAAAGCTTGGCCATTCAAAAAACGAACACTATTAAGTATTTTCAAAAAAAAGCATGAGGATACAATTGAAACGACTAGTTAGTTCACATTTTTTGATTCAGTCGAGCAAAAAATAATCTAATGTTAATGTACTCGGACCAATTAACCGTAAAAAAAAAAGCATGAGTCAAACGATGTCGTGACCTTTTTATGACATAGACTAAAACGTTGATATTCAACTTAACTTTTTCTTCATTAACTTTATTCAGTCAAACTATCATCGATGAACTCGTTTTTTCCTTAATCCCTACATAACAATCATGTTTCATTGGACATCTGACAGTAGTTTCAAGTTCTGAAAATTTGTTTTTACTAAGGAGCTAGTGAGAACTAAAAATGTATTAGGGAAATATATCCACCTATAAATTAAGAAAAAATTAAAACAAAGACTGTTATATGCTTATTAATGACATTTTTGTGGAAGAACATTTTAAAAATCCTAAGTAGTTGACCAAGGTAAAGGTTACGATGGACGACCAACGACCAGGCTAAGTGATAATTTGACTTTACTGTGAGCTGGATAAAAGAAACGAATTTTCAATGTCTTTCTGCCTTCAAAGTATTTCCTAAAGAGATATTGTTTCACTCGAAAGCGCATATTTTGTTTATCATCATAATTCAAAGATGATAAATATTAGCAAGACCATAATTAAATCCGTCTTCAAAGTGTGTAGAAATATCATCAATTCGGTGTAAATAAATTATGATACCTTTTGAAGAATAACTGCGGCTTCATCAGCTGTATAAGGTTTTCTATCTTCACCTTTACCTTTTTCGAATTCTTCCTGCCGACGAATTTCTCTCATAAATTTGGCTCTTATTCTGCCCTGACGTGCACGCTCATGCCTTTGAATGAGAAGTACAGCTTGATCAACCGTCATTAGAATACTTTCATCCTAAAATATCGATAAAAACGGATACTGACTTCAGAAAAACTCATTCTGTCGGGAATATAAATGTTAAAAGCCGAATTTATTCAGTAATGATGATAAATGGTATAACTATACATTCAAGTATAGCTGCAGGAAAATTTGTCTGGTGAATTAAATAAGTTTAAGTCTACATAAAACTGGCAATTATCGAGAAAATTTTTCATAAATCTGTTTTAGTAAATAAATATAAGGTTTATTGACGACTTAGTAAACATTAGAGAAAGCATGCCCCCTTTCAGATTATTTTGTGACAAGCAGCTTGAGAAATATGGCACATTAACACGAGAAACCCTCTACAATCAGTCATCAGGTATTCCAAAATTTTCAGTGACACTAGAACTCAGTTTCGAAGCCAACAATCCAATTCTCCTTATTTCAAGGGTTTTTGGGCATGTATACTTCTTTTATCCACAGAACAAAAATTACAAGAAGCTACAAAAGATAAGTGTTTGTATGATTGGATGATAACGTAGGCTGTTCCAACCTCGCAGACCACTGTGCCCAACTGGGACATGTAATAGAGCACTTCTCGATTATGTTACCTTTCAAAACCATTAATGGAAACTCCAAAAACCTAGGTTTTACATTAAAGAAGCAAACACTCGTTTAAACTTTCCTTTGGCCCGAAGATGGTAACAGGAAGGAATTTTCATCTAAACACTTATTGTATAGAAATTGATTCGTATTTTACACATTGTGTTCACATAAACATTTGGTCCAAATGACTAGGCTGATACAATGTAAAACTCAGCCTTTTTTAAAAACAGGGGTGCATTCTTTGAAAAAACCTTTTCTGAAGCACAGTCTGGACTAAATGTCTGTCAAAACGATGATTTTAACGTGAAGTACAGCGCGGAAGCAAATTATATGACAATAGGTGAGATCACTTTAGAATACAGAACTAGTTTTGGAATTCACTACGTAACAATCACCAAACTTGTGATTATCAGTAAAAGGCAATGTGTAAAAAAACATAACTACACTAAGAATAAAGTACAAATGCAATGCTTTAAGCTGTTTAGAATCAAGAAAATCAGATCTACTGAAAGGAGTGTTCATTAGACGGTTAATTTGCCTTCAGTACACATGGTTTTACACATCCACTTACAACACTGACTGAGGGCTATTGTAATTGTTCAGGCCTGTAATGCAGTGAGATATTGTAATGAGCATATTTGCATTGATGCATCCATTGCGGCCCAAAGAAGTTTATGCATTATATTAGTACGTGTAATCGATGCTTCCTGTTCTTGTTGGTCATATGGCTCAGGATAAATAAGCCGGTATTTCACATCTGACGTCACAGTAAACTTAAAACATCTCAAACTGAAGCCTAATTCCATCCTGAATTAGTGATCACTTGACTAATTCTGTATGTTCTTTAAGGGTGTAATTTGATTCAAGTTAACAAATTTACTTAGTCTCCTGTTAGGTCAAGTTCAGAAGGCGATGAGATGTTGTTTCTAACAGCTGTGATTAGTGTCTAGAAAGTGAATCCATTGATCCGAAAAACATTTTGTTTAAAACATCTTTTATCCTCGGAAACTTTTTTAAAGGTAAATTTCGTTAAAACTGTAACACATTAGTGGTTATTTATTATCTAAGACAGTATTCCTAAAGTTTTTGCTCCATAACAGACGGACGATGGGGAGGATAGTTGAAAAATGTAATACTTTTTCATTCTACTAATAAAGCTGCCACTGACGTACAGGCCTAAATCTTTTCCTCCTCTCATTTTATGCCTAAAGAGAGCTAAGAAATTTCAGCTAATTTATGTCAGTACCTAAAAAAAACATTTGTAGGTATGGTCTATTTATCAAACATATAATCAGATTTCTTTGTACCTGTGTTACATCCGTATCTGTGCTTGATAAAAGATGATCCAAAAATTGTTCTCTGTCTCGCAGTGCTCTGAAATTTTCATTTACAAAGTACTTTGGTATTGGTATTTCCACGTCACTTGGCGTCAGTTTTAAATCCATTAATACATCGTCAAAATAATGATATTCAGAAAGTTCCAATTTCACCATCTCCTGTTTTATTTCTAGAAATCTCCCAATTACTGAGTCCAGAAGAGTTCTAAGTAGACGTCTTTTTTGAGGATGTAAAATTTGATCATAACATCGTTCCAAATTTCGGAAAATTTGTATGTACTTGATATAAAATGTTGCTAGTAATTGAAAGGCTTTACCACGATCCTGAAAATCAAGTGATGTGACTGGTTATCTACACAAACCTTTACAGGCGCTTGAGTTTCTGGGTCCGGTTCGCAAGCCAAAATGTCCGATAGCTTTTCCTGTGTGTCTCTCCATACTTTATTGTACAAACTGAATATTAAAAATGTGTTTATAACACATATGCCTTTATTTACGTGTTTGACATATATATGCAGTGTAGATAAGCCGATTGACGCGTCACATCAAGTGGTTTGCTTTTATCATAGAATTAAAGAAAGGTTCGTAATTTAGGATATCTAAAGGTGAGAAAAAACACAAGCTCATGCTCATTACATAAGTACACATAAAAAACAAATTAAATAATAAAATAGGCCTTATGAAATTTTTATCGTGAGTAGTGGACTGAAAGTTTAAGCAAATATAGACTACTTATAAAAAAGGTAAAATTTCTGTGTGAAAAGATTTGAAGAGCGCGGCCTTGTTACTATAACAACATTTTAATATCCGATATTACCCATATCTTTTTCACGAGCTGATATAAACTAATTTATTTCTTTGCGCTCGATTCTTGTTTTTTCGAAACGATTCCATGTATTTCGTAATGTTAAATGAGTGGAGGTCTAACCACTCGATTGCCTGATTCGTGTCAGTTGGCAGTTATTTATGAACTTCTTTGTACCGCGATTTGAATGAGTACATTGGTTCCAGAGCAACGGGGTTTCCGGATACCAGCAGCTATCAAATTACCAGGTGGGAGATCAGTTCGTTGTAATAAGGCGAACAATAAACATAAAATCCAGATGCTGATAAGATTTAAAAACTAAGCAAATAATTAGGTAATTTAGTTCACTAATGCGTAGTGAAGATTTTGACAGGGGACTGAAGTGTAGGCAAGGGAGGGGAAACAGCAATAATAGGAGAGATAGATTAGGTTAGCGATCTGAGATGTCAATAATAATGTTACTCATGCACATAAACACGTCATTGGTACGCTTGAACTAATACGAGTTTGCCCTAGTCGGAAAACGAGAGCGAGGATGGAGGATCCGGAGACAGGATGTGCTACTCTAATCCAAGTGTCCCAACCCCATATTGAGTAAAAATAAGAAGACTTGATGTGAAGTGGAACGTATATTCTACAAGCATTCATAAAGTACAAGTTCCGAATCCAGAAGAGTATCAAGATCCCTTACTAGTCATCCGGGACCGGGTCCTGGTCATAAAACCTTACAGATAATGCGTATTTATACATTTTGGTAGAATAGGAAACAGCATTGAAGTCTGTGATATTGACAGTTAAGACGACCAATAAGAAACTACATTGGAGCGAGTGACATTGATATCTAGGACGATCATAAAATTGACCAGTAGGGATTAAGCAATAGGGCATGATCAATAATTCTCTTAGGTTATTGGATGAATATTCTAACAAATAACAACTAGCACGTATCAAAAAATGCATCAAGCACAGCCTGTCTACGACGGAGATGATAATCTGTAAGTGAGTACGTGTTTATAAAGTCTATTCTTGAAGCTATTCACTGAAAGGGCTGTGATTACCTCTGCTGGAAAAGCACTCTGAGTTAGGACAACTCCTAATAAGAAAAATAGTTTTGGTTTAGACTATGACCATCACCTGATGCACCTTTTCATTAACATCCTTCCTGGGATTTGTAAACCAGTCGGGCAAAGCGCGTTGTCCAGCTCTGCTGGAACAGGCTACTTCAAGTGTTTAATGTAAATGGTGTAGTCACTTGGAAAAACCGTGATCTTTGCATCCTGCACCGTGGATGGTCGACCGAGGTCAGCTGGCATTTGTGTGTGCTTCATTTAGTTGTCTCATTGATCTAAGTAGGCTTTCATACCTAATGTGACTAGATATACCACCCTTTACGCCATACTAAGCCTGGAGCACCTAATTTAAGTCTTCCCGAATTCTGAAGTTCACAGCAATCAGACGTGGGGACTCAATAGTTTTGATATGTAGCGAACGAAGCATTTATGAGACGCTAATTCCCCTGATGGTGTGAAGTCTTATACTAGGTAATGTCCAACACCATTGCTGCATGTCAGGTGCGTGAAAGTAATCCAAGCTATCACCAACCAGCTGAGTCACTGCGTGAACCGACATACTGGCGTCTATCAATCTTCTAACAGTTGCTCATACTGATAAGGGCTGGTTTTGCCTCACTCGGATTAGGGAGGATAGTTTAACTGAAGGTCCTGAGATATTAAAAGGATTTATTCAACAACATTTTCGAGTTTAAATTTTAATCTAAATGAAAGGAGTTGGAGTCAGCGAACGTATCCACTTCAGAAGTTACACTCCAGTACATAGTGGCTTGTCCTAACCAACAACGTGCAACTGATAAGATTATCATTGCTGTGTTGTTTCCGAACATGAAACTTTCATTTAGGTTCTGGGGTGGCTTACTTATTCTATAATTCACTTTTTGCCTGCTGGTCCTACTAAGACTAGGAATCTTCAGGGAGCGTCGTCCGTCTTTCTTTGTTGGAAACACAGTGAAGATGTCTGGACAGAGTGACTCAAGTCATACACATCACACTGAGCCTCATTATGGAGTAAAAATTTGCGTATTCATGAAATCCTGTCACAGGTATCTGATAATTTTACTCATTATTAACTTTGTGATTCAGAACTCTACTAGTTTTCTTAGTTGTTATCTTGCAAGAACTGGCGGCAACGCTATTACCGTACATGTTATACACTAGACTACAACAAGTATTTTTAGATATTTTGGATAGAAAAATACGCCAGATATACGTTTTGTAAGAGAAAAATAGTGGTATTAACTTCAGTGAATAATGTGTATACTATGCCTTAATAGAACTTCAAACAAGCTCGAAATTGCTGCGTTACCTTTTGAACGTCCAAGCAGGCGACTTTGCGTTTAACCAGTAACTTATTTATTAGTCTTGTATACGCGAGTGCCTATAACTTCTGGCCTGAATGGTTTAGAAACAGTTTCTTAGCAAGATGTGTACGCATCCACTCGAAACCTTAACATTCGTCTCCCTGAGATATTAAAATAGATATCTATAATTCAACATTTCTTGAAAAATGCAGTAGCCCCAAGAATACAAATGTGCGTTTTCAGTAAACAGACTATGGACAAGCTTTCAAAATCGTAACAGTAAATTCAGACCGATTTATGTTATTTTATGATGGTGGACTTTCATAAATCATGGATATATGCAATATCACAGTAAAATTCATGCTAGACAATAATGTGCTGACGAAAACGAATTTTAAAACAGTTAATTAAATTAGTAAGAAAACCAGCATTGAGCTACGAATGCTGAAAAATCAGGTATTTCATGACAAAAAACTTCAGACATTTTCGACAAACATGCTTAGTACTTCACAATATAAACGGGCAGAATTAAAATCATGAGTGAACTTAGGAAAGTGTGTTTTACGCCACTTCGTCGTAATCACATAACTGTTTGTTCACTAAAAATGAGCATACAACGTACTGTATGATAGCAGAATGTATGATGATAAAAATGCTAACTGTGAACTATCAAGTAAATAATTCAACAACAATGTGAATAGATCTCATGCCGCCGAAAATATTACGAAACGCATCTTCAAGAAAAAATCCCAGTAGAATTAATTTTCGACTCAGTAACATTCATAACAATAACAATACATTAATGATATAGCTATACTTGAAGGTGTGAAAAATCAACATGAAATGTATAAGCAAATATAAAAAAGTAATGCATTCACTGTTGCATGTAAGCTCCAAGACTTCTGTCGCCTACTTAACAAACGCATAAAGGAGTACTCAGAGCACAAAATTCATTCCATGCTGCTTGACAGAGAGACTTATTATGACCACATTGGTAATTGTGAACTGCTTATTACATGGTTCTCCCTCAGTCAGAACTCATATCTGACCTCTGATATTAATCTTAACTGCAGCAGTAAGAATCGTCTAAGTTCCACCATCCTTGACTTAAGCAATATTCAGGCCACAATTGAAACCATCGAACCAAATAGCAGCTGTGGTATGGATGAAATACCATCCATACACTTTAAACCGGCAGAATCAAACGTTCTGGCACCTTTGCCCAAAATATTTACAGTAACCCCAGAGGTTGGCATATACAATGAAACCTGGAACTAAACTAATTATGTCCTTAAACATAAGACTTGAGCAAAAACGACAAACCAATTACTATCACCTCATTCGTCTCACGTGTAATAGATAAAGTGATAAAATATCAACCATATGACCACTTACTCAGGGAAAGGCTCATTGACCCCTCACAACATGGCTTCAGTAGAGCTAGGTCACGCACCACATGTCTGATAGATTTCATTAATGTCGTTACTAGCATATGCAATCAAAAGCAACTAGCAATCGTGTTGTATTTTGATATAAAAAAGGCTTTAGATAAGGTACCTCACAATCTCTTAATCAACAGACTTCAGTTCGTCGGTTTTACTGGCCACCTGTTGCAACGGATGAGGTCTTCCATCACGAATATATACCATATTACCAAAATCAACCCTACTACATCTACACCTCAATCAATTACCAGTGGTGTTGTGCAGGGCAGTGTTTTGGTTCCACTGCTTTTAATAATCTACATCAACAGCATATGCAGTTGTTTCAACACTGGTAAAGCCTACTTACATGCTGATGACTTAAATGTGATCTATGAAATTAACAACTCTGACTTAGGAAATTTGTTGCACATAATCCAGCATGAACACAGTGCTGTAGATGTCTGGTTTGAGCAATAGAACCTAGAACTTAATACTCAGAAATTCGGCTGGATGTGTTTTGAAGACACGTCTTCCAAAATAATTCTCACACTCAGCAGGAATTTACTGCCTAAACTCACATCAGTAACTGAACTAGCACAGCCTTAATTTCTATGAACATATTTCCAATAAAGTTTCCAAACGGAGAAGAATGCTAACTTTCACTTTTCGTAACTTCCTTCATAGACAGTCCAGAACAACTCTTAACGAAACACGCGAAAGAGCGAAGGCTGAATACTGCTCACTCTTATTTTTCAAGCCACGCCTATCTGATCTGTTAAAGACTAAAGGAATACAAAGGAATTTCACTCGAAAAATACTAAATCATAACTCACTCAAGGATGATGCAACTTAATGTTTTAAACTGGGACTTGATCCATTAAGGAAAAGGAGGTTTAAGTTCAATCTAATCCTCTATTTTGAGCTCTCGCACAATTTCACACACTCCGCTTGTAGTACAGTCTTTATCCAAGGCCCACGTATACGCAACATTCGAAATAATTTATCTACGGTCAAACTTCAGACGTATAAATTAAAAACCCCAGAAAACATCTTCACCAAGTATGCATTTATATGGAATAGACTTCCCTCAAAAATGTCCATGATGGGTGGGTTACATGAGTTTGTACAACTTCTTAATGAAGCGCTCAGTTGC